TTCAGCTGAGACTGTTGACTAGAGTCAATCGCTACCTGCCATGCAAAGACTTTGAAAGAGTAATCCATGCATTTCTAACGTATCGACTAGACCACTGTAATTCTTTGTATGTTGGAGTGGATCAGCCATCTCGCCATCGGTTGCAGTTAGTCCAGAATGCAGCAGCTTGACTTCTAACTGGAACTAAAAAGCTCACTACCCCCGTTTTAGCCTCGCTCCACAGGCTTCCTGTCCACTTTAGTATTGATTTTAAGATTTTATTGCTTATTTTTAAAGTTTTAAATGGGTTGGCACCTTCTTATTTATTAGAACTTATATATATATGTATGTATATACACACTCAAAGCACTGAGGTCATCCAATCGGACGCTCCTCGATGTCCTCAGATCCAGGTTAAAAACTAGAGGTGACCGAGCCTTTTCACCAGCTTCCTAATCTTTGGAATACTTTACCTGTTGAAATAAGAATTGCTCGGACTGCTGACAAATCCTTTCTAAATGTGTTATATAAATAAACTTGAACTTGAACTTAAAACTTTTCATGTATATGTGATTGTAATTTCATTTCATGTAATTGCAGTATTATCTTTTCAAAAAAAACTTGAACATTTAGGTTGTGTTTGCTGTGTGTTTTGCAGCCTGTTGGAAGTGGCCTGGATGTATTTCAAGGCCGGCCAAAGCTGATCGCCTGGAGAGAGCGAGTGAAGAAGGAGGTCGGTGAAAAGTTGTTTGACGAAGCTCATGAGCTGATCATGAAGGTGAACAGCCTGCCGCAGAAGATGCAGAACAGCGCCGATCTGGAGATGCTCAAACCGAAATTGCAGAAGCTTTTCATCTGAAAACTTTTCTGTGTACAAATTCACATGTCAAATGTTATGTAGCATAATTCCTGTGCAGGTTTGTCAAGAACCAGCTTCCAGGTATTAACATGTTTGGAAAACTGTGCTGTAAACATAACATGATTCGCCCCCAAAAATTATCATGCTATAAAGTCTGAACAAAATCTGAAACTCAACTCAAATCTGAAAACTGTGAAACTGGGCTGGAAATATTCACCAGGACAAATCACGACAAATGTTCTTTACAACAACTCAGTGTTATTTTTATGATCCCTACACCACTAAAAATACTTATAAAAACCAACTGTGTCCATTTGTTTTGTCTACTTTTAAATGGATTTCTGAAATTCAGTTTGTAGATAAACATAAATATGAGGTAACATGACTTACAAGGATGTGAAAAACATGCTGGAGTGAAGGTAAAAATATGAACAGGGACATTATAAAGTTTATTATCACACTCCTCATGATATGTTAATCAGGTCAGGTTTGCTCTTAGACACTTCAGAAGGACATACAACTGTTGATAGACAACACACATGCAGTGGTGGAAGGAGTATTTACATGCCTGCACTCAAAATTATACCCAAAGCATTCACTGATACATTGATACATTAACCTGTAAGCAGAAATGGGATGTTGTAGCTGGTGTAGTTGGTGTTGTGTCATACAGTACTGCTGTACTTAAACTATTACACTATAAACTCAATTCAAAAGAGTAAAAAGTGCAATGTTTCCCTCTGAAACGTAGTGGAGTGGAAGTATTAAGTGGCATCAAATGGAAAAAACTCAAGTAAAGTACAAGTTCACCAAAGTAAAGCACTTGAGAATATGTTCTCAGATGCATTCCAGCTCTACACACATGACTGTTGCAGAGAGTGAGTCATTGTTTTCTCAGATTGTCTGAACTGGTCAGTTTTCCTCACAGTGATCCACTTTGTCCTTCTGAGAACAAGAAGATCTTTATCTCCAAGAAAATCAGAAAAAAAGTCGCAAATGGCATACCAGAATTTTTAGGTTTGTTTCCAAACAAGACATGTTCTCAAATGTTTACATCATAGATCATAATCCCAACTTTATTTCTCAGTATGTTCCTCTGTGATGCATAGCCTTGTGAGCGTTGTTCAGATCTCACTGACATCTAGTGCATTTCTTAAGTTATTTCTGTGTAAATCCCCTTTTAGGGAGGTCACTTATGAGCCTGACCATTATTATTTTGATTAATCAATTGAATGAATCGTCACAAATTAGTGAAAACTGCCAATCACAATTTCCCAGAGTGCTTGTTTTATCTCAGCAAAATGACAAAATGATAAAATGCAAACTAAAATAATAGATAGAGAGAAAAGCATAAAATCCTTACATTGGAGAAGCTGGAACCAGAGACTGTTTGGCATTTTTCACTGCCAAATAACTTAAATGATTAATTGATTATCCTACATATCAAATTCGTATGTTATCAACATCTTGTATTTTTTTTGAAAGATCATAACTTCCCCTCGTTTGTCCTGTTTTGGTGGCTGCTGCAGTCTTTATCCAAGACTAAAGCAGTAAGTCTACTTGCCTTTGACTTTTACATGAATCAGTGACAATTCTAAAATAGCCACAGAAGTTACATACAGGATAAGGCTGGATTACCAACTGGATGAGCAGGCAACTGACCCATTAACACAAATCCGGGTTTCTGAAACCAGGATACAATGTTTAATATTGTTACAACCCAGCTCGTTAGGGTAGGGCAGTAACAAGGTATTTGGGTTAAATTAAGGTGGTAAGGACAACTGAAATCAGGTTGAGTCGAAGTTTAATTAAATGAGTTGTCTCCAAAAAAACATAACAAAAAGGAGGCTATGTAGGTACTGACAAAAAAACACTTAACAAAAGGAGGTCAGTACCTACATGCTGTACAGGAATGTAGTGTAACCAAACAAACAATTTTCCCCCTTAAAGGGTGCCACTCACAATCTAGTTTACAAAGGTTTTTACTGACAAGAGTCACTTAAGCCAGCAACCAACAAACAGATCAGATTTAAACACTCAAGACATTCACAGGGGTACACAACCAACAACAAGGCGAACTGATCACTGGCTCACAGTCGCCTCGAACTGCAGGAACACAAACTATTTGTAGGCCAGCTGGTGTTGATTGGTGAGTTCTGGTTGGCAGGTTCGGTAGGATCCTCGGCCACACCAATCAGACGCCAGCAAACAGCAACCAGGAAGTGGGTGGTTCCAGGTCCAGGGGAACCAATTCTCGACAGGTGCTTGCCGTGGGGATTTGCATACAGCTCAGAGAACTCCAAAACACAACTACTCTAAGGCAGCCAGCGGCGGCCGTAACAATATCCTGGTTATGATCAAGTTTTGGGATTGTCCCTGTGATCTGTTGAGCATGTAAACATTATATCCTGGTTTCAGAAACCCGGATTTGTTGCCTGGAGGATAATGTGGCATATCTAACACCTCACCCAGATTTCTGAACACTCTTATAGGTGCAGATGTTTATATACAGTCTATGGTGCTGATCAGAGTGGCTGAGATGGTGAGAAATCCAGACACTCTTGCAGGCAGACAATCACAAAACTGGATCCCCAGGGTGGAGCTAGACTCTCAGCACAGTAAAATAGCTGATGAAACCATTTGTTATACTGTGTCACTTGTTGATCCAAGTAAGCTTATGAAATGATAAGCCTATAAAACACAAAGAAAAGCCACATTGTCAAACAACTTTGTTTTGAAGAACAAAGAAAATGGCTTGCTAGTCAAGTTAAAATGTTTCAGCACCAAAGAAGACAGTGGTGTGGCATGCTGAACAGGCCAAGTGCACTGTCTCAATCAGTGCCACACTACATAAATGACATATATAAATATATATACAGAACAATCAGTTTGCCCTACCGCTCCACTGTACCTGAGCTATACCAAGACTGACTGAAGCATCGCTTATCTTGGTCATATAGGAAATTTTTGTAACCCTCCTTCAAACCAGGCTGTCAAGGACCATGTCCAATCACTGCACAGATTATTTCTGTTGTGAGAGATCGGTGATGAAAAAGGAGCGGGTCAGTGGGATATTCTTCTTCAGACAAGCAATTGGCTAGGCTGTGCTCTGGACCCATGCTGGCACTGCTGCTGGAACCGGAGGCATCTGCGACTGACCGGGTATCCTCCATCCAGTTGCAGGTGACAATACTCCTCCTCTGGTGAGCTTTTCTGAGCTTCAGCTCTGCTAGCTTCATTACTCATGCTGATAAGTTTGCTGTTTGTTCAAAATACACGTTACCCTATTAGTACTCTTTGTTTTTTTTTAAATGTGCTGGCTCAGAATATATTTTTTTGTTGGTAATTGTCATTCTTGTGCTGGTTTACCATTGTGACCAGGAGTGAAGAGACAGCATTTCTCGAATAAGATCAAATACAGGATAAGACTAAGAACCAGGATACTCGTGTGCATGTAAACACAATCAGTATCAAGGTGGGTCTTCCATTATTACCTCATCTTCATCTTCACAGTAGTTTTAAGAGCTTGATTTAGTTTATGTTATGGTGCATATTGCTGAAGAAAGGTGTGCTCTATGAAATGACCATGCAGTCACTGACACACAGAGAACTCGGGACCAGGCACTATTAATCCTTGGAAGAGTCCTGGTTGGTTCCTGGGTCTCTGCAAATAATTTAAACCGGGTTGACAGCGTACAGATTAAGATTTAGTCATCAGACACACAAGTAGAATTTCTTTCAATAGGTCATTTAAACAAAAAAATAAATCACTCTCAGGTAGATATTGCTTCTTAGTTTTTGACCCTTCTTCATTGTTTTAAACTTTCTTGTGTATTTGTGACACTTTTATTTGTGCTTTTCTATTCTCTATTTATTTATTTTCAGGGGTTTATGTTTTACTTGTCTGGGCTTTACTTGTTTTATTGGTCCTGTGTGATTAAATTGTTGTTTGTTTTACTGGCGTTGTTTTTGAGTAGAGACCCAGAGGACTACTTTGTGGAGGCAAATGGGAATAAATAATAAAGACATATTAAGTAGATTAAAACAGTTGCTTTTCCGTTGATCCTCTTACGTTACAGTAAACTGTGTGTGTGTGTGTGTGTGTGTGTGTGTTGCAGCGGCAGTGATTATATTGGACGTGAGAGCAGCTGCAGGAGTCTGGACATGTGACCCTCCACACAGGAAGAGGAGTCAAGAAATGAGTCAGAGATTCCTCCACACGAAAAATCCGATTCACATCCAAGCAGCAGCAGCAACATGCCGGGCTGTGGGGTTCTCGGTCTCTGTCAGTATGAAACCAAGAAGCTGGTCCGGATTCAGAGCGTCCGGCTCGGCTCCCTGAAGTGGACTCTGAACGGATGCATTCTGCTGTTTATCTGGTGAGTGAAACAAGTGACATGTTTCAGCCCCCGCAGCGGCTGCCTCTTAATTATTCAGTCAGAACAGGTTCCGTTAAGTCCAGTTAAAGCTGAAACAGATTTAGACAACTACATCGGCTGCCATGTCTGTCAAAGGAGAGGGATGGATACGTTAACCCTGACAATTTTAAGTGGTCATTGATAAGGCTGTTTATTTGTGTTTAAATTAACTGGACTGCCTTTTGAGGATATGCAGCATAAAAAGTCCTTCAAAAGTATGTAAAATTCGTTTAACCTTTTCATCGCTAAATCTGCACACAGTTTGTTAGCTTTGTTTTGTTATTTTATTTTTTTATTTTCTAGTTTTGTTTTATACTGTGACCCCACGGTCAGAATTGAGACACCAGAAGCCAATACGGACCCAGGCTTGTTACAGAGCAAATGATTAATGTGTTAATGGAGGAAATGGTCTGGAGATTAATTGGTTGTGAAAACAATCAGTTGCATCCCTAAACATGACTTTTACAGTCTAAAGGGTCAAGCTACTGTACAAAACATCCTAAATACCCCATAATTCAATTTGATAGATGTATTGAATTTGCTTGAATTGCTAATTTTTATTTTTTATTTTGCAGTATTATGATGCTGTGGAACAGGAAGTACCAGGAGTTCGACCTGGTGGTGAGTTCTGTCACTACCAAGGTAAAGGGTGTAGCTCAGATCCACCTGCCAAACATCGGGGACATGGTCTGGGATGGCGTGGACTACAGCGGGCCCTCACAGGTAGGAGCTTGGTCTTCTGTCCTCTTTGGCAAAGAGGAGAATTTAAAGATGTGGTGTTTTTTGTTTTTTTTCTCCTTTCAGGACAAAAACTCCTTCTTTGTGGTGACCAACATCATAGTGACAGAGAATCAGAGGCAGGGAAAATGCGCAGAGGTGCTTATTATTATTATTATTATTATTATTATTATTATTATTAATACAAAGATTTAGATGAAAAGTTAGCAAAACTTTCTTATTTTGCAGCAGTGTTTATATTCCAGGTTCCCCTCAAAGGCAGATTGTGTCGGACAGATAAGGACTGTGAGAAAGGAGGCTGGGATCATTTGAGTCACGGTACAGTAACTTCTTCTGTACATTAACATGCACACAGGAAACCAGAGAAGCAAGGTACTGTATGAACCTGGGCCCTGTTCTTCAAATGTGGATAACATGCAGTTACCAGGCTAATACAAAAGTCTTGTTTGCTGTGTTCCTGCGTTCTTACAGATGTTGCTTTTTTCTACATTGTACTCCCCAGTATTTCCACTGCTTTCACTCAGATTTCCAGTGAATGTGTTTGTGTTCAAATGACAAATTCCCATTTCAATGTCAAATTAAATGCCGAATGTTCTGCCTCCATTGGTCCTTTAACAGTCAGAATCTTTGAGTTGAGTTCACCGTGAAACATCTTTGTCATGGTCCAGCTAGCTGAGCTGCAGTTACTGATAGCAGATTCGGGCTTAAAGACTTGTTCTGACAACATTTCCAGATAAAGAAGAACCAAAACAATCCAGACTCATGTCAAATCGTCAGTTCTAATCTGGATAACTTTGTTATCCACGTATAAAGAACGGGGGCCCTGTTACTGTTAATCCTGGTACAAAAACAGCGGAACTTTGTGAGTTTCAGTTTTGGATGGACTTTAAATGGAGTTATTTTGAATAGGACGATCTCAACACTCTGCTGTCACAGCAAGACTTTCTTTAAGTGTGTTGGTACCAGTTAACACCTGTCTCCACAAGAAGCAGTGGAATTTATCATTCATGTGTTGCAGTTGTAGCTTCAGCCAGTGGTACAGAATCTCTAAGCTCTGTGCTAAATTAAAGTGTTGGTTGATAAACGGACACAGTTAACACCACATCAGCTGCTGCAGAAATCAAACCTACAACTTTTCAAACTCAGTTATGTCTGAATAGAGTTTAAATGCAGCACTGTTCAGTTGTTTGTTTTGTTTTAACTTCTGCAGGGATTCAGACAGGATCGTGTGTGAAGTTTGATGTGTTGCAGAAAACCTGTGAGGTGTCAGCGTGGTGTCCAGTTGAAAACAAGACGAGCCCTCCGAGGTAAACCCTACTGTTTGGTTGTCAGATCAGGGCTGTCATGTCATGAAACATCTCCCTCAGGAATTTAACTTTATGATCATATTGGCTACTTGGGGGCAGCGGTAACACGTTTTGAACACAACACATATCGTTTAAGTTTATATGTTGAACTTGTTAGCAAACAGCTGCTTATTTGCACATCAGGCTGTTGCATAGCAACATTATAAGTCATTTGGAGTCGTGTTTGTGTCGCCTGGTAAATGCAAGTCCAGTTTTCACTCTCTTTTAGCTCACTTTTTAGTCTCCACCAGCTCCTGAGGGCAATATCAGACTCTTCTCTGTGTCTAACTGTGTCTGTTTGCTGTAAAAAAAAAAAAATTAAAAACGAGACAGCAAATTGTTTCTGAAAAGTTTCAGTTGCTTTCTTTCTTTTTTGATGTGTTCCTGCAGATTTTTCACTGCCTTCAACAATTATATTTTTCTTTGCTCCTCCATTTCTGTTGGGCGTTGTATTGTCCCTTAACAACACATCGAAAAATAAAAAACCCTTTTGTATAAAGTATGCGTATAGACTATTTAAAGTGTACTTTATTTTGTCACTTTTCTACTGTAAACACACTAGATATTCCAAACTTGCTTAGAACTTGTATCCAGTATTGTTTTGGAGCACAGCATCTCGTTCAAATGGAGGTACAGTAAAGTTCGGTCTGTTTCTGTTGAAAAATGTACTGTATTGACTCCAATGTATAATAGTTTGTATTCCCTATGATGCAGGCCTGCTATGCTAGCAGCAGCTGAGAACTTCACAGTCCTCATCAAAAACAACATCAGGTTCCCTGCGTTCAATTATATCCGGTGAGACTGCTTGCTGATTGATGCTACTGAGGCTACAAACTGATTCTCTAGTGATGGTGTTTTGTTTTTTATGCAGTGGGCCACAGCTGTGTCTGTACAGCAACAAGTTCCACATAGGTCAAAATTCACAATGTATTATTTAACAGACAATGTTGAAGACTCTTTATTTTTGGCCTGTTGAAGGAGGCTCCAACATCAAATCATTTTGCTTCGTTAATTTCTGTGTTGCAAACAACTGTCATAGATTACAAGTAGCTGTCACTTCTATCACAAATCAAATTTTTTCACTGTTTTATCATATCTTGTTTGCATGTGATCATGATGAAAACAAGTTAAGTATTTCCTGCCTTGTTTTATTTTTAAATAAGAAAAGCCAGGAAAACCTTTAGAGCATCACAGGACACTAAAACTCTCAGCTGAAAACAGACTAATGCCATCTCTAAAGGGTTTGCTGCTCTTTGTCACTTCACTCCAGTGTTGGAGAAACTCTGACTTTGTTTTGCTTAACAGAAGGAACATTCTGCCACAGATGAACGACGCCTACCTGAGGAGCTGTCATAGAGGAAACGACTCGCTGTGTCCCATTTTCAAACTGGGAGACATCATTCGAGAGGCTGGAGAAAAGTTCTCTGTAATTGCAGTAGAGGTGGAGTTGCATGTTCAAATGTTTCTCACAACATGGCTCTTATTTCATCGTTCTGGCCATCATTGAGCTATGATAACATTTTATAGACTTTCACTGCTGAAAGCTCAGGATGCAGCAACATTGCGACGCCAGACCAGTTTTGCTATACTTTCTCTTTTTGGGGTTTCTCTTAGTGAGTCATTTGTTATCCTGGTCAATAGATCAAATAAAGTTGAAATGAAACAACCCTGACAACCAAAAAAAAGGAAGTGTTACCACAGCAAACGTTCTTCAGTCTGCATGGATGAAAGTCAGCATTATTAGTGTGCCAGTAGATGTTAAAAACAAATTTCGATCCCTAGAATTCCTAATTTATTTTCCGGTAATTAATTAGATGATGTCTAGTCACTGTAAAAATCATCCTCCTCCTCCTAGTGAAAATCAACTTGTTTCAACTCTTTTCTACAAAAAAGCTATCTGGGTTTCCCCTTAGCTGACTGACTTTTGTCTTGAATCCATTTCCTCTGTTGACCACAGGGAGGAGTCATCGGCATCCTGATCAAATGGGACTGCAACCTGGACCGGCTCATGCATCGCTGCCTGCCCAAATACTCCTTCAGACGGCTGGATGAGAAAGAGAGCAACAAGACGCTCTACCCCGGTCTTAACTTCAGGTGAACAAGGGTCAAAGGTCAAGTTTACCTTGTCAGATACTGTGTGCACATTCCTTATCAGTCAGGCCATTGTAGGAGCTTTGGTTATTTTTAGACTGAAGTTGCCAAAAGCCAAAAGTCTGTGCTAATGTTTTTATGGCTGTGAATTCACATGAGAAAAATTAAGCCTTTAGTGTTTCCCCAGTTGTATTTTTGTTGGCATGGAAACATTTATACCATCAAGAGGAACCTCTGTATAATAAACAATGGCTGGTTTGAAGTCTGTTCTGTAACTGTGGTTGAGGAGGACAGTGACTGGCTGATAGTTGATGCGTAATAAAAGGTCGGTATCAGTTAAAAAAAAAAAAAAAAAAAAAAAGCATGAAGTTGCAGTGCTTCTTTCCTCATCTGCTGTTCTCTGCTCAGGTATGCAAAGTACAACACAGTAAACGGAGTGGAGGTTCGAACGCTGTACAAAGCATTCGGGATCAGGTTTGATGTCATGGTGTTCGGACAGGTGGGTTGGTTTATCTAATAGAGATCTTCGTCAGGCATTGTCAAATATACAACCACTTGTTGTTCTGCCTAATTGTGAGTTTTTCTATGTCCTATAGTAGTGGATTCCTGTGGATGATTTTTCCTTTAAATTAGTCTGATTTTTGATGTATTGGATTATATGTTCTTGTATAAAATTTGTCTCTATCTTTAGAGGTATTCTTTGTCCCCTATATGGGAGTATCAGACATACTCATTCAGCTCTGCTCTGATTGGTCCAGTCTGAGAGTAGTTTGGGAGCTGATTTTCAGGACAGTGTGCAGATCCTCTGTCTGACATGTGTTTGTCATTGTGGGCACACCCACTGTAGTGCAAAACTACATCCCTGCTGCACAGGTGGTGGGATAACCATGTTGTCACCACTAGTGGGCAGTGCAAGGCAGAATTATTAGCCTAGATGCAATTTCTGTTAGGTTTGGACTTAATATTTTTAAACTTAAAGTTTAGGACTTTTGAATTTGCAGTAGGCCTTTGTGAAATTATGTCATGGATATTGCTTAGTTTTGTCCATTTTTATTTTTTGTTGTGGTTGAGAGGAAATTGTCCAAGGTGCCATATCTTATCAATAAAATAACTTGTTACTGATGCATTATATCTACTAAATCATCACCTTGGGATTTCTATAATTGTGTCTATAACTCTGAAGGAAAGTGTGGGGAAATAAAGAGTGACAGTTAGTTCTGTTTTCCAGGCGGGAAGGTTCAGCTTCATCCAGCTCATCATCTACATCGGATCAACGCTGTCATACTACGCTCTGGTGAGAGACCACACAGTGTCCATTCATGCATTCACCCTCCCTTAGTAACGAACATAGTGGCAATCAGTGTTAGAGTCCAGAGTGGGACTTTCAATGGTGGCTGCATCTGGACAATCTGACTGAATTTCACTGTAGTGTAAAGATTAAATAAAGAACAGAAAAGAAGTGAGATGAAATCCACTGTGGACTATGGCACATTATATTCTAAAGCAGTGGTGGAAAGTACATTTACTCAAGTACTGTACTTAACTACAAATGTGATGTACTTTATTATGTTTCATGCTAGTTTCTAGTTTTACTGTCACATGTCAGAATGAAATATTGTACTTTTTACTTCACTACATTTATCTGACAGCTTTAGTTGCTAGGTAGTTTATAAATAAAGATTTTTTTCACACAACATATGAAGAGTTTATAAAATATGATGTTTTGCTATAATTAAACTAACCAACAGTTTATACAAGTACAGCAGACAAGATTAGAGGACTAATCTATTAGTCAATTGACAGCTGTGACTGCATTTCTCACAATTTTCTGAATTTTTACAAACCAAACAATCAGTCAATTTTAATGGAGAAAATAATCTGCAGATTCATCCATAATGAAAGTAATTATTAGCACTCACAACTACATTTATAGAGGAGGAACATTCACTTAAGCAACATTTTTAATGCAGAGCTTTTACTCATAAGAGTTTACAGTGCAGTATCAGTACTTTCACTTCTTTTCAAGGATCTGAATACTCCTCCACTGTTGCCATACAGTGATGAATCATAAGAGTGAAACCACATTAGGAAATCATGGAGGAGGAAGTGTCTGGTGTAACTGACCAGTTTCAGTCTTTACGTTTCACTGCTGTCTGTGACACTTTAATACTGGTTGTTACTGTTAGCATAGACTCCAGTCTAGTTCCATACACTTCACTGAGAAACCACAGTATTAGACTGAGTTACAATTTAAAAACCTAAATAAATATTAAAGCGATTGTTTGACATTTTGGAAAAAAGATTTACACAGGAAGATCGATACACTCTATTATCTGTGTGTTTAGCTCAGTACAAATACTGGAAACCAGGGAGAAACGGCTAGCCCCAAATATGAGGGAGGCATCCTTCTCATCTAACTCTTGGCAAAAAGCCACATAGGTGTATTTCCCTAAATGTTGAACTATTCATTTTTTTCACTTTCATTTTTATTTTACAACAACAACAACAGGGGACATGTCAGAACGATGTACACACACGGTCAAATTAAATACAACAATGTGTCAGTCGAGACAAACACATACCTGTTTTAAAGCTGTAATATTTTATTACGCCTGGATGAGCATGAGAGAGAGAGACTTGCTGTGGGGGGGGGAACCCAAACTTTTCTTTGGACAGTGAAGCTGGAGTTTTTCTTGGAGGCTGGATCAGTTAGAGGAGCTTCAGCTCTGATTGGTGCTGCACAATACAATTGTCTCCTGAGCAGCAGTACAGAGAAAGCTGAACTCACCAAAGTCAGACAGCTTTTTTGGATTTCAATTTGATATGAAAACGGTGTCTCCACAACAGCTGACAGTGACCTTTGCACCACTACCACCATCACACAACGAGCTGTTACATTAAATCTGAAGTCAGAAATCTCAAATATTAAACGCTTATTTCTTAAGTGCAAATATTCTGCCCTGATTTAATCAGTTTATTTTAATAAAATAAAGTCATGTTTGGTGTTAAATCACAGGTATGTTGACACATCTGTATCGCTGATTGGTAATGCAGGTGATGTGAAGCAGTTATGAGTGTTGTAGATGAGGTGTGAGCTCCTGACTGACGGCCTCACGTGATACTCTGCATGTCTTTTTCCTTCAGACAACCATGTTTATCGACTGGCTGATTGGAACCAGCTGTTACTCGGCAGAGGTCGGACAAGACTACTCGGAGAGGAAAGTGGAGTCAGTCCAAGACAAACAGAAGGTGATGAATGGTTTGATAAGACTGACGATGTGATATTGTATATTCTGTAGCTGTTTAAAACAAAACATTTAATACAATTGAAACACTTTCTCATGCTGAAATCAGCTAGTTTATGATCATTCTGAATATCCTGATGTGACTATGTTGCAGTGCATCCTCTGTGTGTCCTACGTTGATGAGGACAACATTCGACTGGTGAAGAGATCACAGAAGAAAAGTTTACAAGACCTCAAACCAACGTCTGTTAAGCCACGCAAGGTAAACCTGCTGCAGAGAGGCTAGATCAGAGAATTCACATGCAGAAACGGTCAGTTTTTTACTTATAAAACACAATGAAATTAAGACCTAAAATCTCTCTTACTTCAAATAAATTGAATGTTTCTAGGTTGAAACATCAACGGGATTGATGAGATTTATTTGAAACCAAATATTTTAGCATTATTTTAGACTTGCAGATTCAGCATTAAGCTTTTCTAGACATTACATTAAAATAGAGTTGGGTGATTATGGCCAATAAACATTTCGCAATATACTGTATATAATATGCACAATGATGCAGCCTATCAACATTGTGCATATTATATTTACTGGCTGAGCTTTCCCCTTTTAAAGAAGGTGGCTTTGAAGGTCTTTCCTGGTGTGTGAGGGGTAGTTAAGTTACTTTAGTCAGCTATGTGTGTAGATAAGCTCAGGATGCAGTTACTGAAAGGCCATGTGTTTGCTGCCACAGAAAATAAATTTAAAAAGTATCTGTGTGTACGTTACAACGGCATCTTCTACTCTTCACAGCAGAGTTGATCCAGACTGTGAAAAGCTAGCTAGTTAGCAGCTAAAAGTCAGGCTAAAGTCAGTTAAAATATCCTAAAACCAGAGGTCTCCCAAACATGCCTTGGAGTTTTAGAGCTGTAAACCACAGTAGAGAAATTACAGCGATCAGATGATTGATCACGTTTTCTCACAGCGAAGAAATCAGTGACCCATAGCTGCTAGCTAATTTGCTTTTCATCGTTTTTACATACAAGACCAGCGAAATAGTGAAATCTTAAATATAACTATATGGTCATCTGCTGTATCACACATAATTAATATTCTAATAAATCAAATATTTGACATATCCCCCAGCCCTACATTTGAAGTGAATTATGCTGCTGGGCTGTTTTTGTCTGAATGCAAAGCAAAAACGCATAAAAACAGAAAACATAATTTTTTACTTTGAATGGCCAAAGAGCAGTTTTTGAGTGTCAGTTTGGATTATTGTTGTATTACTTTGGCCAATATTAAAAATGAGTGAGTAATAGGTTTTGTAATTTAGCTGAATCATTTTAAAACATGCACAATTTATTTTTTTTTTTTGGCTCAATCTTGCCATTGACTTCAGTGTTATATTCTTGTCCTGATAGGTGGACACAGGACACCTGAGAGCCGTTCTCTCTCTGCTACAACCGGGTGAAGGCCTGGATCATGACTCTCAGCCTCCCCTTCATCATAAACCCGGTCCGAACAACAACGACCCACATCGTCCAGCCTGGTGTAAGTGCGACTGCTGCATTCCCTCCTCTCTCCCTCAGGAGGAGCTGTGCTGCCGGCAGAGCAGCGGTGCCTGCATCACCTCGTCTCCTCTGTTTGAGCAGCTTGTGTTACGTCGCTCCTTGCTAGAGGCCGTCCTTCTGTATCAGGACCCTCTGTCTCCACCCGCTGATAAAGGCCAGACTGCTGCCCTGCGTCACTGCGCCTACAGACAGTACATCAGCTGGAGGTTTGGGGTCCCACCTAAGGACACCCACCCTGCTATCCCCAGCTGCTGCGTGTGGAGAATCAGGGAGGCATACCCGAGCCCGCACAGAGAGTACAGCGGCTTCAGACCAGGCCTCCATATCCACCTGGCGTCCATGCAAGCCTGTGCTAATGGAGAGCTGTGAGGAGCATTTTCATTACAGAGCAAGGATTTCCCCACTATCTGACCTACTAATAGCGTTCTTATGTTAGATTTGCCTTACAAAGCCAAAAATGCAATTTACTTTACTCAACTGTGCAGCAAATAAAAATAAATCAGTTTTTGTCAGCTTGCATTCGGTCCGAAGGGGAAAAACCTCCCTGGCCAATAAATAACTGCATTTTCTAAGATTATCTGTGAAGTCATTTGGCTGCTTAGTAAAAATTTCTATGAAGCAATTTTTCTTAGTTTCACTCCCTTTAAGCAGCTTTTTAAACTTTTATAGGGCAGAAAAATATCATTTTTAACTTCACTCAACATGCTCAGAAAAAAGAATGTGTTTACATTCGTAATCTCATATGGAAAGATTAAGAGGTTGGTTCCTACATAGGGTGACCAGATGAGAATGGGTAAAATTTGGGACGGGGGGGGCGGCTACCAGTACATTGAGTGTGAACAATGAACATTAACACACGTGAAAATCTGTATACTATACAAACAAGGTACACTGTATTGATCAGTGAACTTGGTGTTGGTGGGTGTTCTTTTTTACTTTGGACAGGGCCAGTCTAGCTGTTTACCCCTGCTTCCAGTCTATGCTGAGCTATGCTAACTACATCTGGGCCACTTCCAGTCCTGACAAAACATAGCAAAACGAGATGCCAGCAGTCTGATCCTTTCTGCACATGGGCAAAAGTGGTGAATCAAAGGAAGTTACTGCAAATGTGCCTGTTCAAAATACTCAAACCACATCTCTCAAATCAAGTTTACAAAATGGGTTTTAATCATTGTAAATCTAATAGTTCACTGTTATGTCATAGGGGAAACCTTGTTGGACAGTAGTAGTAATTTGCAATTTCTAACTGACTGTGGGAGGTATGGGGAATTGCTTAAAATATGAAATTAGGAAATTTACAATTAAATTTAGCAAGGAGTTAGCCAAGATCAAAAATAGAGAATTTAATAAACGGACACAGCTGAGAGTTGTTAAAATCAGGGGGGTGGACAGACATCCGTTTCCAGTCTTAATGCTAAGCTGACCGGCTGCTGGCTGTAGCTTCATATTTACTGTACAGGCATAAGAGTGGCATTGATCTTCTGATTTCAGAATTAATGAATTTCCCAAAATGTTGATCTTTTCCTTTTGATGCTCAGACGCGAGATTGATACCAATCTTTTGATTTCACTCTTGACAATAAAAGAAAATAAACCTACCTACCGAAACATGTAGAACTAAACCCTTTCTGTGTTTAGTGGGTCTGAAAGTACTATTGAAGCTCCAGTTTCAGGGATTAGAGCGGGATGTAAAGTCAGTTTCAGAGATGATGAGCAACTGCTCTGGCTGAGAGAAGGGGAAAATACCTCTAATGGTCCAAAATAAGTACCTGTGGCTCCAGACAATGATAAGAAGCTTCATTTATCATAAGGCAGGAGTAGGAGGTCATACAGGAACCATAATCCCTGCTGTTTATGAAAGCATTCACTTTGTGTTACAACACACACACAACCATCTAAACATGTTTTGTTGCCAAATCACACAATACATATTTGCAGTCCTCCATAACACAGAATGTAAAAAGTGACCCTGTTTTTAGATAGTCTACCATCCAGATAACAATGCTGTTCTGCTGGTTGGCCTTTTTTACAGCTTGGATTAAAACTTCAGTCGCATCCTCAGCACATTTATTGTGGAGTCGCACAAGGCTCCATTTTAGGCCCAGTTCTGTTTTCAGTTTACTTCCTACCAAAAGACCACATCACCCAATCACTGAACCACAATCAGGCGCATGTCTTGCTCAAGGACGTTTCAACATGTACTGTCGTCTACATCCGGGGATCAACCTCCCCACCTGCTATTAGTGGATAACCTACCTGCTGAACAACAGCCAGTGATGGCCAGTGGGGTATAGACATGAAGGGTTCAGCAGTAGCAGTAGTAGTAACAGCCATAGCTGTGTGATTTTTGGGATGTCAATGTTGGTTACTGTGGTGCTGAAATATGTCAACCACTATTGGATGTATTGCCCTTTTGAGGTTGACATTGGTGGTTTTGAGTAAAATATCTCAACTAGTGGATTGCCATGAAATTTGGTTTAGACATTCATGATCCCATCATTATGAATTCTCAGGATTCATCTAGCGCCATCATCAGAAAATCTTAATGTGGCCGTATTTGGTTTATGACCACATACCTGCAAAATGAATGATAGTCCCATTAGCCTCTACCGCACATTGTATTTAGTGGTAAGTGTTAGCATGCCAACACATTAATCTAAGATGGTGAACTTTTACGTACTTTGTATACTTTGGTTGTAACTATTAATGAATCTTATTTCATAAGCTGATCATAGATACATCTTTAAAATAGTTGCCAGATAAATGAGGTGGAGAAAAAATTGATTTTCTTCTGAAATGTAGAGGACAGTAGAATAAATGGAAAGTAGCCTACTTAAACAACCAACAATACATGTCTGAATATGATCAAATCTGCCGCTGTTGGTGTAGCGTGGCCTTTGCTGCAGCTCAACGTTTGATTGATGCAAACAAAATAAATGTATTTCACGTAAAAATCTAGTTCAGCTTTAACAAACAGGCTTTACACAGAGCAACACTTCCTCTGTCAGATCTAGTACAATAGCAGCCTGAGTTGTATTAGCTGTTTGCACCCCAGGCCATTCATCAGGTGGCCTATTTGACATTTACGAGCACTTTCTACCCTTCGCTTTCCCAACTCTGGCTCCAGACCTCAACCATTGTTTTTATAAATGGTCCATTTGAACAAAAATAAGGGCTCTTTGTTAAACAACTCCAGGCCTGAAATAGCTCCTGATGACTTGTTTCAGCAGCAGGCATCCCTGTTTCCTCCCATAACTCATCCACTGACCCCTCACTGCTGCTTTGTTCACTGGAGGTTGAACAGGACCCACTGGTGGCTAATCTGTGAGCATGTGTCTTTTTGATTTCATTTTATTTTCAAAATGGCCTGTAATGACCTATTACTGTACAGGGGGGCTGGTTTCCACTAAATTAGATTGGCCTATATCCTCCATGAAGAAATGTATTTTAATAATGTGATGTGTGTGTTTTCTTTCCATGTCCACCAGACAGCTAAATATAAATAAATTACTGCTGTTGTTTCTAATTCTAATTGCTGACTGTGTTGACCCGCAGACTGTGAATGGATGCATGTGAAGTGTTAGTGGGGGGATGAAAGCCATTGTGGATGGATTATCAAGTGGAAGTGGAGGTGGAAGGATGATCTGACGCAGCGGCAGATTGGTTAATGGATGGATGGAGGATGAACGCATATACGGTAGACAGATTAAACGGATGGATGGATACATCAGTCAGTGCAGCTACATGACAATAAAAGTGTGTATTGTCTCTGCTGGACTATCTTGTTTACCACAAAAAAACACATGTGCCTCATAGTCGAACAGTAGTTGCATTGTCTGTACTGTCGAGGAGGTTGCTCTGCACCGGTGGAGGTTTCAGTCACGCCAACATTTCTCTGAGGCAAAAGAATCTCATTGGTTGAGTTTAAAGGGGTGGATTAGTTTTTCCACCTAATGTGGGCTTCAGATGGAACTTTCATTACATTTTGAAGTGGGCTACTTGTTATTTATTTGACAGCAATAGTTACTAGTTACTTTTTAAATTAATATTTTATAAAACACATATGAAATGCTTGTGAAAAACAACACATAATCATAGATTAAATCAATATTTCCCAATATTTCTGACTTACATACAATCTGTGTTGTGGCTTATTGCCATCTTTGTTAGCAGTTCCAGAGGGAAGTTTACTCTAAACTTCACACATGGTTTCATAAAAATAAAAAAAACTTTGCGGTTCAAGAGGTTAATTATCTAATAGTTCACAACAAAGCATAAAATTAAATACACATTTGTGTATTAGAACTTTGAGTTTTCTCTTTCCTCCCCCATTAATTGTCTCAAGAGTGAACAATTTCTTTTACCTTTGATACTTTAAATTTACATATTGTTGGTGATAATTTTGTGCTTCTACTTAAGTAGGATTTAAAATGCAGGACTTTTACTTGTATATTTGCATTTTTATCATTGTACTTACTAATTAAAGTGTCTGAATACCTCTTCCACCACTGATAAGGGAATGTTTCTGTCACAACATGATGCACTGTTGTTCATTTATCTTCCTCACAATCTCGCTGTTTTCATAACAGATGAAATATGACATTACAGATGAAAAATAATGGCAACATACCATCCATCCCCTTTGGCCTTTCGAGGAAATTTTTTTTACAGTTTCCCCTCTTAGAGTCAAAGTCAATACACATCACCCCCATGAACACAATAACAGTGTGTTCTTACTGTATAAGCGTTAGTGGTTCAGTGAAAATATAAAGAGAGCCAAAACGTATTTTCACTCAATTTATTCTGTACCCAACAAGTTGGTTTCGAGTAAAACAGGAGGCTGGAGAAGTGACACTGAATTCTTTCTAACATACAGTATGTATCTTTATAGAGACAGATTCATCAATATAGTGCAAATAATGGGATATGTGGAGCTCAATATATATTAATTAAAGATTGGATCATAAAACATGATGAAGATAATGATGTAAAGTCAGTGTGGAGTCGCACATCACTTCTCTGTAGCTATGTTTGCTCAGAGATTTACTGGACTGAGTAAAAACAGGCAATAGGCAGTTTGTTCCCTGCAGTGTTTTTGGGACATGAGTTCAGCCTGAGGCCAGCAGAGTATACATACACCACAGACAGAAAACTGATTGCTAGCTTTCAGGATGATATTTTATTCAACAACTTTCACAAGACTAGCAGCGTATCTCAAATCCACAATACAAACAAATTATTTTTTTTATTTCAATATTTTGATTGGCTTCCCCCCCCACCTTTTTTGAGTGTCAGTGTAGACAGATAGGGAACGTGGGGAAAAAGAGGGTATGACATACAACAAGGCTTACAAAAATATTGTAAATATGAAGAACATGAGTATTAAATATTAGGAAAGATGTGCTATATCTTTGTGAAGTTAAAACTAGTAGTGACATTTAAAAGTTGCAGTTTGACTGACGTCCGATGTAGAGCGTATAGGATCATTTCATTTTTTTTATGTAGTATTGTACTTGAGTGTGTCAGTATAATGCTATTTATTACTACTATTTTTATATTACTTACACTATATTTA